TATTCCTCCTTTTTGGTTTGTAGTTGTTCTCATTTACCAGTCCATGTTTCCGGTTCCTTGTTTATATATTTTTTTATGATAATTTTACTTTGGATACTACTATAACTGGGTTGATTTCTGGGTAATGTCATCATGTATGTCAATCACTAGTTCTTGCCTGCTGTTGTTAGTTCCCTGTCCAAAGGACTCTCTTTAGCATGACTTGTATGGTTGGTCTGATTTTAACAAATTTCCTTGATTTTTGTTTATCTGGAAATGTCCTAAATTCATCATCATATTTGAGGGACAATTTTAGTGGACATATAATTCTTGGTGGTAATTTTTTTTTCATGTTTCTATATATATTGTTCCATTGCCTTCTTGACTTCATGATTTCTGGTGAAAACTGGAAGCTTACTCTTATGGTTTGTCCCTTGTAGCCAACTTTTCATTTTTCATGTGCTCCTTTCAGAATTCTATATTTTCCTTTGGTTTTGGTGAGTTTGATATTGATGTCTCAGTGATTTTGTGGTGGAGTTTTTTCCAGTTTGGGTTTCATAGAATGTCTTGAATAGATATCTTCTAATCTTTCATCATATTATGGCAAATCTCTTCCAATAAAGTTTTGAAAATTTTATCTGTGATTTAATTTGTCCCTTCCTGTTCTGGACTTCCCATTACATGAAAGTTATTCCTTTTTTTTTTTTTTTTTTTAATGATCCCTTAACGAAGTAACATTGAGAGAATTGTCTTCAATTTCACTAATTCTTTCTACCATTGATTATATTTCACTGTTTGCCCACTCAATGTGTTATCTGTTTCTGAAATAATAGTTTAACCTTCTGAATTCTTATCCATTGTTTTTGGATGTTCTGTAATTTTCATTTATTTCATCAGTTTGCTCTTGCATTGTTTTCCTAAACTGTTCTAGAGTTTTGTTGTGTTTTCCTTAATATTGTCATAGTTTTCCTTGATCTGTCTCTCAATCTGTTGAAGGTACTTAAATATAATTTTTTGTATTCCTAATCAGGCAGTTCTTATGCCATCTCTTCCTCAGGTAAGTTTTCTGGATCTGTATCCTGTTTTGTTCTGGTGTACATAGGTTGTATGAGTTGGATATGACTCGACGGCATATAGCAACATCATTGTCCCTTATTGGTAGCAATTTATCTTTGTTCTTGGTGTGGGCTGGGGTAATTAGTTTTCTCTGAGACATTGTGATGTTGTATTTGTATTTAATTAGTGATTATGCATGAGTATGATTTTCTCAAGATTTTTTTCTTTCTTTCTTCCTTTCTTTTGTTTTGATATACCTGAGTGAGCAGAGCTACTGTGCTGCTCTGTTTTCTAGTAGGTGGCACTTAGGTACTCACCACTTGTCTTCTGATGGGTATAGCAGAGAATGAGACTGTGGCCACAGATGTATTTTTAGCTGTTTGTGTAGAGTAGTTGAGGGTTAGTTGGGCTGGTATTGGCCACTGCCTATCATTCATCATTTGGATGAATGAAAGGAATTGGTGGCTCTCTGCCAGTGAGTGTGGCTGCAGGAGGTGCAAGTATGGTTGAGTTGTGTGGGATTTGTTGCTTTCTAGTTGTCAGCCTCCAGTGCTATTGCTTGTGCTTTGTCGAGCAGAGCTTAGGTTGCTGCCTGGATCAGAATGTGAGGTGTGTATATTAAAATTGGCTATCCTGTTAAGAGAGCCAACATTGTGCAACTCTGTTTGTCTCCTTATTCACTATTTTCATTCAGCTTCTTCTAAACCAAACCCAAACCAAACTCACTGCTGTTGAGTTGGGTCCAACTCATAACAACCCCTCTATGTGTTTCTCTACAGAACTAGATTGCCCAATCTTCCTTCTGAAGAGTGGCTGGTGAGTTTGAACTGTCAGCCTTCTGATTAACAATCAAATGCCTTAGGCACTATGCCACCAGATCGCCTCAGCTAGTTGGTATTTAATACTTTTCTTTATCTTTCTCTTCAAAACTCAGGATTCCAGGGTTATCTGTTGTATCTCTTCCAATTGGTTTCTCATTTCTTCATTGCAGAGGATCTTTATAACTTTTTTGTCTACTCTGCCATTTTGCCAGAAGTACCCCTACATATACATATTGCTGTCATTCTTTAAAATGCTTATTCAATTTAGTTCTTATTTTGAAATTTTAATTTTAAATGGAACTACCTGAAACTGACTTTTAAGATACCAGACATTCTCATTTAACTTAGTATATACATACAGATTCTTGTCAGATCTAAGATAAATAGGCAAGATCAACAGGAATGGGAGCAGGACAGCATGAACCTTAAGAAGAAAGAGGATAGTAGATGACAGGGAAATTGAGCTCATGCCTAAGACAAGTTACTTTACTGCTAAGTCTTCAATTTCCCCACATGGGAAAAAGATGAGAGGGATTAACAATTTTCTAGTCTCTTCCAGGGGACTGGCTTTTGACTCAAAATAAACAAACAAAAAAAGAAAATTCATTGCCATTGAGTCAATTTTGATTCAGAGCAACCACCACTGGGCTTCTAAGGCTGTAAATCTTTGCAGAAGTATATTGTTCCACCTTTCTTCCACAGAGCAGCTGGTGAATTCAAACCACTGACATTTTGGTTAGCAGCCAAATGCCTTAAACACTGTGCCACTAGAGCTCCTTGGGCTCTTGACCAGCTGTCTTAAATATGCTACACTTAGGGGCTATTCTGTTTCTAGGTAATGTTTGTGTTACTAGTTTTATACTGTTGACAGAGAGAGCAGGGAGGCAGTGATATATAGTGATAACCTCATTAAAGTTGCTGAGAAGCGAATGTAAGACTTAGCCCTATAGGTCTGACTAGGCAATCACCCAAACTTCCCTGACATGAAAGCAAATATCTTGGGATCCAAGTTATTCAAATCTGTATAAAAAAGGGAAAGGAAATAATAGCTCTGCTGGTATAGTGCTTAAAGCATTTGACTGCTAACCAGAAGTCTGGCGGCCCAAACCCATCAGCCACTCCTCAGAAGGAAGGTTGGGCAATCTACTTCTGTAGCGATAGTGCCTCAGAAACCCAAGGAAGAGTCGCTATGAGTCAGATCCGACTCAATGGTAGT